AATATTACCAAATTTAAATATTGCAGATCACCTTCTTGTTTATATTATTAAAAAATTCTCAAAGCTTCTATTTAAGTCTATAATTAGCTTATAAAAATCTATAAAATTAAATTTATACCTATTACTATTTGATTTTTTATTTGATAAACAACTACCTTTTAAAGCTTTTGAAATTATGGTAGATTCCTAAACTACATAGTTGTAAAACAATTTATATTAAAATTAATTCAAAATTTATTATTAAATAAATTTTTTAAAAAATAAAAATACTATATAAATTGATTCTAAAATATTCTTTTACTAATAACCAAATTTGGGAATTAGTTAAAGCCAGGTGTGTTTAGTATAAACTTAAACCTAATCAACATGCTATATAAATTATATTATTGATATTTATATAAGCAAATAACCATTACTTCATCAAAAAAGTCATCAAAAAGTAATTCTAACACACCTTGCTTTCACTATCTCCTAAATTTGGTAATGAAGAATCTTTGATCAACTTTAATATTGTATTATAAAAGAAACCTGTAACAATTGTGAAGAATCTTTATAAGTATCACATGCAGGTTCCTTTTTTAATATTAAATTTGAACATCAAAGTCCTATTACAATCCACACAAACATTATAAAAAATATATAAAATTGGTATTATATAGCATACAACATATAGAACGCTTTTATTTTAGCTTAGAAAGTGGGGGTGAGGCCTAATAAAATTTTGAATAATAGGTCTTTAAAATTTTAAGCATAAAATATTACGCTATACGGTTTAAGGGATAAAAGTTACACTGCGCAGTGAAATGCTACACAACATGCGCAATAAAATACTGCACAGCCTGCGCAATAAATACTGCACAGCCTGCACAGTAAAATACTGCACAGCCTGCGCAATAAAATACTGCACAACCTGCGCAGTGGCTCACAACCCATGACAATACATACATTATTCTAGAACAGGCTGTGATGACAGTAATACAGCCGTAACATAATTGAGATAGCACTGCCACAAAAATGTCTGCACCTAGTAGTTAATAAAACTCCACAGACACGTAATTTTTTGTGGCGCAAGCAAATCAGAATTCAAGATCAGGTTAACGTAGCACGATCATGAAAATTCAAACGTTCTTCTGTCAAAAATCGCTTACAACTCATAAATTTGCATAGGAAACCACCTTTAGTGCTCTAATAAAAGTTTTCCTTGGACGACTTTACTATTAGCATCACCATATAGTAAGCACTAAACTTAACTCAAATGAACTTAAGATTTTTTCGGTATGTTATAAAAAAATCACGTGTCCGTGGTGATACTCGGAAAGATGGTTTGAACAACATGTTTGATACACATCTCAACTATGACTCGCTTTAAGGTGTCCAGAATTCAGAAATTGTTTTTAGCACATAATTGTACAGATTTTACCAACAGGAGGGAACGTACCCGATCCAAAGTGAATCCCACACATGGTGTGATCAATTAAAACTGAAATTATTTATATTAATTTTAATTGATCACACCATGCGTGGGATTCACTTTGGATCGGGTACGTTTCCCCCTGTTGATTTTACCGCTAATCTGACCGGCACTACCGAAATTGTTTGGTAGATCTATTAATGATAATTATCAAGCATTATTTCGGGTCAACAATAAGCTGCGCTAAAATTCTGCAAATCCAAAATCACCAAATAAGAAATACACTATTTTAACTGCGGATTCTACAAATTTCGAAAATTCTGGACAGTGACTCTTAATCGTTACACTGCATACAATTATAAATCAACAGATACTTTTCATTTACGACAGTTGAGTACCGGTACATTATTAGAGCGTCACGTTTCCAGCTATTAAAACTAATAGCATTGAAGTAAGATTAAAGGGCTTATATGCTAGATTTATCACGTGAATGCTGTGTAGTTGTCTCATAAGACAATTGTTTAAGTCATGGCTGCTAATGATGTTGCCCAAACCTGGGATAGTCCGAAGCCAGGCAGTAATTTATATGCTTCACCTGACTTTTACTTTAAAAATTTCTGAATTTATTGTTAATCAACTTAAAAACTATCTGGATTTAGATGATCCCCGAACCCGGTAATTTGAAACTTGATAGAATTCAAAGGTTTTACTAGGTTCAACAATTGTGTCGTAACTGCGTTATAACCCGAACTTATGCATCACTGACTAGAACGCGAATCATAAGTAATAACCGAGTATTGTCTAGTGATGCAGAGGAGTTATTTCCACAATCGTGAAAATAATTCCTCTGCACTATCAACTGCGCCATATTTGTTTTGTAGAGTTGATTGATCCTTAAAGTTTGGGATATTCATAAAGAAATGGGCACAGACTTGGATTTCAAATTGGGTTTTGAATATCGTTAAATGTCAATTTCCGAACCAAAATTAAGTAGAAATCCCAAATTAACCCATTTGAGTTTGGGTAACATCGCTACTGCTAGGGTCATCATAGTTTGATTTATGACTCAGGTCATGGCTCAAACCGTAGATCCAATAGCGTTATATCTAGGGATGGAAAACTGCGCAGGTGGAAAAATCGCAAAAATATAAGCGGAATTTTTCGGTGTCACTATCTTCAACAACAAATAACTTGGTTTTGCTAGTCTCGATATGACAATTTCAACGAGCCCAAGATCGTCCAAATCCAATCACTGAATGAGGTGTGCAGGCTGCGCAACCCACACAGTAAATTTAAATTTTGGTTATTTGCCCATCCCTGGTTAACATCTTATTTCGCCGAAAACTATTACCCTACATGTAATTTACTTGAGTTATAAGTTACTAACTATATATACCTACAGCTAATGCGGCGAGTAAATGACATGTCGGGAAATAATTTTGAGGAAATGTGCGTATACCCTCAAACAGTCACATTTCAAACTGAGGTCACAGCTTTTAGGAGCCAGACAAAACCATCCAAGCCAATAACTATAATTAATGGAAATATTCCTATATCTATCATCATATTATTGATTGAAAATTAATTTGAGAACACTTGTATGAAAATTATAATTTTTTTTTTAGTTGCGCCAAAATAAAATTTTGTGTCAGATCAAATACAAATACAACTTAAACTCGTCATAGTGGATTCTTGATATATTGAATATTCTATAGTGAAGAATTTGAATTACGGAGTTATGGATCTTCAACTCGATATAGTGAAGCACATATAGTAATCTCTCAATATAACCTACAGTGAAGTTTTTTTTTCAACCCGACGACTTCACTATAACGAGAATTTTAATCTGAAGTGCGGAAATAAATTTTACTTGTTACCTTTACTGAGAGGTTCTCGAAATTACTGTAAGTTTCCGAATATAGTTTCGGGGTTTTGATTTCCGAAACCAGTTTCAATTTTGATTAGTTTCGGGTATTAATTCCATGAGGATTGTATGTTTAATTACAAGCATCTGGATGTTTAAAGATGCATAGTATCCTTTTCCGCACCATATACACGTCATTCTGGTTATATCGACACTTCAAAAGAAATTGTTCGATATATCCAGATGTCGGCTTAACCAGAGGCATTTTCATATTAAGTACGCAGGTTCAGAATTTTAAAAAATACGTGATAGTCAGGTGTCGATATATCTAGATTTCGATATATCCAGGATATCGATATATCCCGATGTTGATATAACCAGAATGACGTTTATATATCGACGCCAAACAACGACGAAATTACACCACCAGCAATGCCGACACCAAGCAACGACGAAAGAAAAGCCACTCCCAGATACGCCGATGCCAAATAACAATAAAAGAGGATCCAATCACCAGCAACACTGACAAAAAAACAATCCATCCCCAGCAGTGCCGATACGAAAAAAAGATTTTACTACCTGTAATTACGGCTTGTAAGGCACTTTCTAAAACCAGACATGCTAGTTTGGATATCATCCTTTCCTGCTTAATTTTCTATTCTTACTATTGCACTTGCTTGTAAACATGGAACGAAGTTCTGTAAGTTCTGTGTATGAAAAAAAATAATTAATAAAATATCGTAACAAACTTCATAATAAATTTGATTTTTAAATAGTTGAGATCTGCGGATAAAAGATACTGTAAACGGGAATGAAATTTAAGTGGATTTGTAGAATCTACGATCTAACCTCTATATAATCACTCTTTATATAATCACAAATTGTAAAAAAAAACAATTACAGTATATATGTCGTACGTCGGAATGGAATTATTGTGGAATTAGAATCCACCTAGATTGATTCCGAATAAACGTAGGTTGTAATAGAATTCTAAAATGTGCTTGAGTTGTTAAAGAATTCCAATTCAACTTACAATAAAATTAAGTAGATTCAAAATTATTTTATCGAGTACGTTGTTTTGGAATTTAAGTCGTTTTAAGATATTGTTTATAATAATGCAAATTAATTCAATTTATTTATTTAAAAGCATTACAAATTGTTTTTACATTTAAAATTACTAGGATGGCAACTACTACCGCATGGTACTTTCATCTTTTTACATTTACAATGATTTTTGTCACACGAATTTTTGCAATTGCATTTAATATTGCCTATTTGTGACGAAGATTGCATAATCGATGCCTCTCGAACGCTTAAAGGTGCTGAAGGAATATTATCCAATTCGGGAAACTTGTCAGGACCCAAAGGGAGAAGTTCATTGGCGTTATATGTAACTTTAATAATGCCAGACTTACATCCAAGTTTATATGTATCATGCTCTAAAACTTCTTTCGATCATTGTGTGTTCTATCGATTTCTGGAATCTTGATATGCACCAAATCTCTGACATTATATTTGTTTGCGAACTTCTTATTACGCTTGTTAAGTTGTGACTTCAAATCATTTCGGTATCGTTCGAGAGACTTTGTAGCAACACTTCGATAAATTTCATGTGCCGACGTTTTTTGAACATTAGTCTTATGTTTAGGACTATGTTCATCTAAAAAAGGCTTTAAAATAAAATAATTTAATGTATACTATTGTTATGTATTAAATAATATGGAATTACAAAATTACCTGAACATTGGTGCTTATGGTGGAAGCTGTCAAAACGGAAGGCTTATGCCTTTTACTTAGACGAGTTTCAAGATCATTTTCAAGCAAACTTCCGTTAAATATTTCATTTTCCGATAATTCAATTAATTCGTTTTCATTAGATATCTATTTATAAAATTTTTATTATAAAATTTTTTTTTATAAAAAATATTGATATGACAGTAAATACTTAAATTTATTATTGTATTTTCCTTTTCATTTACCTTTTCGCTTAACCCCAGATTCAAATTTTCATTCACTTTTTCATTCAACCCCTCATCCAATCTTTTATTCACCCTTTCGCTTAACACTTCATCCAACCTTTCACTCAATCTTTCGTCTAACCTTTCATTTATCCTTTCACTTAACCTCTTGTCAATCATATGATTCAAATCTTCATCTATCATTTCATGCACCATTTCGTCCGCCATTTTGTCCGCCATTTTGTCCGCCATTTCGTCCAATTTTTCATTCACTATTTCTTCTTCCAATCTTTTATTCACCCTTTCGCTTAACACTTCATCCAACCTTTCACTCAATCTTTCGTCTAACCTTTCATTTAT